ACTGTTGCTTAGCAACCCTGGGAGCTACAGAACCAAATCCCCACTGTGGAGAGCTGATGTTGAATTAGGAGCAGAGAAAGGAAATCTTTGAGAGATTTGTCTGCAGAGGAGGAGGTGACGACGTTCAGGTGTTAAAACACTCTGTCATGAAAAACGCTCATAGCCGCATTTATAAACATCACTAACAACGTTATTATGACACTGAACTCTTCAGGTACTGAAGGAGGTGTCGTCAGTCACATCCTCTGCCTCCGCATTGTTTCTGTCCAGAAGCTGATTCCTCTAATCCCCACCACAGGAAATGTTTTTAAGAGGTGTGTGGATGAACACAGCAGCAGAGTGTCTCCTGCTCATGAAGGGTTAAATCTCTGTGTTCACAGAGAGAGAGGAGACTCAGCACACTGCCATGCATGACTTCGTCCCCGTCACTCTGTAATGCTGCAGTTCTCTCAGGGAGCCGCAGTGGTGCTGCTGATGCACAAATGCTGTCTGTGGGCTGATTTGCATTTCAACTGCAGTGAGAATGAAAACACACTTTGATGTTCTGGATGTTCAGCAGGCAGCAGCCCGTCGCTGCAGAGACAGAGGAGGCTCCCACCTCCTGTCTCAGACCTCCTGTCTCAGACCTCCTGTCTCAGACCTCCTGTCTCCAAACCTCCTCTCTCAGACCTCCTGTCTCAGACCTCCTGTCTCAGACCTCCTGTCTCCAAACCTCCTCTCTCAGACCTCCTGTCTCAGACCTCCTGTCTCAGACCTCCTGTCTCCAAACCTCCTCTCTCAGACCGCCTGTCTCCAAACCTCCTGTCTCAGACCTCCTGTCTCAGACCTCCTGTCTCAGACCTCCTGTCTCAGACCTCCTCTCTCAGACCTCCTGTCTCAGACCTCCTGTCTCAGACCTCCTGTCTCAGACCTCCTGTCTCAGACCTCCTCTCTCAGACCTCCTGTCTCAGACCTCCTGTCTCCAAACCTCCTCTCTCAGACCGCCTGTCTCCAAACCTTCTGTCTCAGACCTCAGAGATTAAGTATCTCCTGGTCTTGTTCACAGTGACGGTACGATGGACCATTAGATTGACAGGTGGATTGGTTCAGCGTCGGCAGTTATGAGGGCGTTGTACCGGACCGTCTTGGGGAAGAGGGAGCTGAGCCTGAAGGCAAAGCTTGCAATTCACCGCTCCATCTTCGTTCCGACCCTCACCTGTGGTCATGAGCTTTGAGTAGAGATGATATGATGATATGATGAGAGCTGGGGGAGAGCTGTCTGTAGGTCTGTTAAGTGATGCAGGTTTTAGATACTTGTTTAAATGTAGGGACTTGGGTAGGGTACCAGGGGGGCGCTGGCTAAAGTCCGATATGGACCACAGAATAGAAGAACGTCCCGAGTAATGCCTTTGGGCAAGGCCCTGAACCCCCAACTCTGGTGCGCTCCCTCCGACATCTCTCCATTAGTCCAGATCCTGATTGTGTCGGTGTATTTCAGGACTGTGTGTGTGAGAAGCATGTTTGAAGCCCAATTTCCCCTCAAGGATTAATGAAGTATATGAAATAAAAAAGTATTTATTTTACTTACACAGCCTCTAACACACCTAATGTTTCTATTTGAATCCTTCTTTAGCATTTATTCTGGTTCACCTTATGTTTGAATATATATTATATTATATTATATAATAATTAGTAGACTGTTGATGGGTCTTCTGTTATACTCCTGACTTCCTTTGTCTGTCAAAACACATCGTAAACATCTGTATTTAAAGGTGAATAATAAATAAAGTTATTATTTGTATTAATACATTAATGTATGGTTGTTCATTTAATTAAAAAATCTATAATTTACTGACATTATTAATAAATACTTCTCACAATAACAGCCACCTCCCACCCACTGTACTATTGTTGTGTCTTCTCTGAATAATAATAAGTACTGCAGGGGGGGGGGGGGTTCACACCAACCCACAGTTATTCATTAATCAGTTTATTAAACATGAATTAACCTCCAGATTATAAACGCAGCTTTATGTCCTCTGAAGGGCTCCATATAGAAAAACATTTCATCATTAGTCCTCTCTAAACGCGTTAAGAAGCAGTTATTACGTTGGGAGTCCCCCCCGCTGCGGTGGAAAGTGGTACGGTCCATCATGTGAAGCGGCGCCGTCCCCCTCACGTCCCTGTCCGCGCTGCTCCTCTGAAGGCGTCTCTTTATAATCCGCTGTTTGAACCGGGATGCTGGCGGATCCGTGACGCCGTGGGCTCCCGGGTGTGGGAGATGAATGTTGTACTTCCTTGTTCCTCTGTGTAGCAGGAACCACGCAGCGGTAGCCGCATGACAGAGACTCCTATGTTGATTTTTTTAGCCGTTATCTGAGATTCTTTGACGGTTGGGAGCTCCAGCAGCGGCGGCGGACCGAACGAGCCGCGGCCGCTTGACAGGTGCTGTTTCCGGCTCTGCGTGCAGAGATGCCGCCCGTCCAGAGAACCATGTCCGATCTCCGTTCCCGGCAGGAGGGTATGTGGAACAGTTTTTACTTGTGTGTGTGTGTCAGAGGATTATTAAACACCTTCATCTCGGCTGTTTCAGTGTCTCTGTGAGGAAGGCGGCCGGTGGCTGGAAGTACAGTACGATAACTTGCTAGCTAAAGCTGTGATTAACGCTGCCCCTTCAGGGGTCAAGGAAACCCCGGGGCCCCTTCAGGGGTCAAGGAAACCCCGGGGGCTTCTCCAGAGCGGTCTCCGGAAGAAGACTCAATTATGATGCACGATATTAGAATATAATTAAAGCTCTAAATGACAGTCTGCAGACATTTAAATACCTGCAAGACAGACTGCTTCACCCACACAGGCTCTGCTTTAAGACATCCAGGGTTGACAACTTTTACACTACCAAATAATAGACTACATATTTAGTGGAAGCAAGCATTGTCTATTTTATATGTAGAATAACTGAATTACCATAAAGGGCCCCTGACTGACACAGACCTCCATCCGAGGAATCATTTCTATATTTTTATTTTAGGGCTTTTTGTTTTTATTCGATAGGACAGTGGATAGTGTTGGAAAGCAGGGAGAGAGAGAGAGCGGGGGCATGCAGGAAAGGAGCCACAGTTAGGACTTGAACCCTGGCCGCCCACTTTGAGGGACATGGGCTACAGCCTAACCACTAGGCCATCTGCGCCCCCTGAGATTTTATTACAGAAAGTGAACCAAGCCATGTGAGACTTAAAGACAACATAAGGCGATCATATTGGAAATCAATTATTCCAGTCTTAATGTGGAACCCCCTTGTAGCCCCCTTATTGACCTCTGTCGCTCCCTGGACCCTGGACTCTAAGAACTTTTAATCACAGGTTGGAGCCTCCAAAGAGAGGCCTGACTCACTAAGTTCAGTATTTTATGGAGATTTGTCGCTGCTCTTAAAATCTTCAAGCTGTTGTTTGTGTCTTAAAGTTCACGCTTGCACCTTTAGATTAGAGTAGATGTTGCTTCATAAATAAACTTCTATTCTATTATTGTGTGATTGGATAACACGTGTCAATGGATCAGTGCATGGTCATCTTGGAACCGCTGGTTTAGTGAATGTGTAGAGTTGATGTCGGGCGTGGGGCGTCCTGCTTGAGATGAATGGATTAGAAATCGGGGATATCCCGGTTAACACGGGAAGGGTGCACCTGACCCAGTGAGCACGTCTCCCGTCAGCGCCACCACAAAGGTGTGTACTTCTGAGAAAGCAGGAAACGTGACAGAGAGCATCACGACTCTTTTATCACAACTTCAATGACATCAGCAGCAGTGTCATCTGAAGCAGCGTGGGAATAATAATAGAAGCATTGTAGTTCTGCAGAGACCCCCTAACTCCTCCACTGCACCAGTAACTTTCCACTGCAGCTCAGCTGCCAGAGAGAGACACACGAGTGGACGGATTTGAATGCTCATAATGGGATCTGGAGGCCTTGTAAGGCTTCTTAGTAGCTCTGGGTGTTAAGGTGAGTTTGTTGATCCAGGAGAGGAACCTGCTGCAGGACTCGAACACGAGGATCAGCTGCAGATTCACGACCCTGAGGGGTTCCTTTACAGAATCTTTAAATTATTCCATCGCCTTTTTGTGGCCGACCGTGACCTTTGGCCTCTCTGGCCTTGTGCAGGATTTATTTAGCAGAGATCAATAGCATGTGGATTGTTTCTTATTTATGGTTGTTGCTGCAGGTTGTTGGCCGCCCGCTCTAAACGTACTTGCACAGTGGCGGTTTGGCTTGATTCATAACTGTAGGCTTAGGCTAAGTTATTGCTGTTTAATATATATTTCTGGCAGCTAAAGCCGGCACCCTGGCCTCTTAAAGTGGATTAGAAAGAGCTCCCTGTGATTTGTGATTCATATACTCAAAGACTTGTGGTTAATTAAAATGTAGGTGATAAGGGCACGCCAAAATACACGCCTTGTATGTTCTTATTAAGGCTGAAGATAAAGTAACATCAATAACCTCTGGCAGTGCAGCAGTGTTACTATAATGCCCGGTACAGACAAACGATGATCAACACGTGGTCGTGGACCCTAAACGGTGGTCCTGCGCCATCCTGTGAGAGAGGATCAAAGATGGCCGATCTCACGGTTTTACGCCCAAATATAACTTAAGACAAAAATCTGACGATGATCTCACAATGTGAACGCTTCTACGATCTACAACCAACCAATAGATATACAGCGTGAAATGATGCACTGATCAGCGCTACCACACCGGCGCCAGAGCCGTGGAAAGTCATTAAATGGATTCACTCAAAAGAAGGTTTTGGGATTGCATCAGAGGAAAGTCTGCTGATCGTGTCCACATTTCTCCAGCCCTCCTCTTCTTCCTTTTTCCTCTGCACATGAACGCCAGTGCGGCGAGAGCTCGCTTTCTGCTGACCGCCATGGCAACCTCAGGCTGACCAGGTTGATGCACACTGAGTGACTCCTCACACAGTGTGCATGCTCGTCGTACCAACATCACGAGACCCGTTCAGTGTGGCTCCTGTAAACTTGTCAGACTGTGGAAATCGAACAAACTGTCGGAGGCGTTCGTTTAATTGTTCCCTGACCACGCTCTGTTGTCCGCGTAGCTAGGACCGAGGGAAATTTATTTTTAAAGAGGCATGTGGCTCAATTTAAAAATTCAGTATTTGTGAGCATGAAAAACTGAACACTGCTGCAAAGGAGCAACAAGAGAAGAAGAACCAGGACACGAGTCATGGGTCTGTTTATTTAAAAAAACATTATTAGTTACAAAATATAATTTAGTGATGAAGGAGCAAACATATATATATATATATATATATATATATATATATATATATATATATAAACATGTAAACATATATTTTAAAAACGTTAATTCATGTTTTCAGACTGTGCAGGAATGTAAATGTAAATTTCCCCGTTGTGGGATAAATAAAGGATTCTCTTCTCTTAAGAGGAACTGTGAGTCCTGTAATCTAAAAACACTCCAAGGATTCATTTATTACTTTATGATCATCTTCCTAATTATGTCACAAATAACTGGATTCTCTTCTGATTATCCTAAACTGGTCCTGAACCGGTCCTGACCCCCTGTACTCAAGTTCTCATCCTGGACCCCTGAACACACCCCACTGTCCTCAACTTCTCATCCTGGACCCCTGAACACACCCCCTGTCCTCAACTTCTCATCCTGGACCCCTGAACACACCCCCTGTCCTCAACTTCTCATCCTGGACCCCTGAACACACCCCACTGTCCTCAACTTCTCATCCTGGACCCCTGAACACACCCCACTGTCCTCAACTTCTCATCCTGGACCCCTGAACACACCCCACTGTCCTCAACTTCTCATCCTGGACCCCTGAACACCCCCCCTGTCCTCAACTTCTCATCCTGGACCCCTGAACACCCCCCCTGTCCTCATGAAAGAAACCTTACCCTGATATGGATTCAGCTGCAAACTGTTGACTGCTGCAGTCACAGAGCGAACACATGAATTATGCACCAGCTATTACTGCCCCCTCCCCTCTCTCCCCCCCTCCCCACTCCTCCCCCCTCACCCCCCCTCACCCCGCATCTGCCACACTCTACCTTTCACGTTACAAAGAGCAAACCATTTTGCAGTTTTTTTCACTCGTCTCCATGACACTGAGCAAACGATACCATCCCCAGCTGCCATGAAAAATGTATCATCTCACTCACTGTGTTTACATGGACCTGAGGATCCTGGTTCTGATCATATTCAGGATCTGGTGTTTACATGGACCTGAGGATCCTGGTTCTGATCATATTCAGGATCTGGTGTTTACATGGACCTGAGGATCCTGGTTCTGATCATATTCAGGATCTGGTGTTTACATGGACCTGAGGATCCTGGTTCTGATCATATTCAGGATCTGGTGTTTACATGGACCTGAGGATCCTGGTTCTGATTATATTCAGGATCTGGTGTTTACATGGACCTGAGGATCCTGGTTCTGATCATATTCAGGATCTGGTGTTTACATGGACCTGAGGATCCTGGTTCTGATCATATTCAGGATCTGGTGTTTACATGGACCTGAGGATCCTGGTTCTGATTATATTCAGGATCTGGTGTTTACATGGACCTGAGGATCCTGGTTCTGATCATATTCAGGATCTGGTGTTTACATGGACCTGAGGATCCTGGTTCTGATCATATTCAGGATCTGGTGTTTACATGGACCTGAGGATCCCCCTTATGATCCCGGTTCTGATCATATTCAGGATCTGGTGTTTACATGGACCTGAGGATCCCCCTTATGATCCTGGTTCTGATCATATTCAGGATCTGGTGTTTACATGGACCTGAGGATCCTGGTTCTGATCATATTCAGGATCTGGTGTTTACATGGACCTGAGGATCCCCGTTGTGATCCCGGTTCTGATCATATTCAGGATCTGGTGTTTACATGGACCTGAGGATCCCCCTTATGATCCCGGTTCTGATCATATTCAGGATCTGGTGTTTACATGGACCTGAGGATCCCCTTATGATCCCGGTTCTGATCATATTCAGGATCTGGTGTTTACATGGACTGATCCAGTTTCCAATGTGACCTCACTCCACTGTACTTGTTGGTGAACTGGCGTCCTGTAGCCTGGTCAGACTGGCTGAGGCGGCGCCTGTGCAGGATACTGATCAGAACCAGGACTCTCAGGTCCACGTGACCACACTCAGTGATGAATTGAATCACCTCGTCCTTCCTGTTTTGTCCCTCTGGTTTCGTCTACTTCACTATTTAACACTTCCTCTTCTTCCTCACAGCCGCTCCTCAGTTTTATTTTTTAATCACCACACTGCATCAGGCGGGTCGCCGTCTAGAAAGGGGCGGCCCTCTGCCAGGCTTACCACCTAATCCATCAGCGGCCTGTCTGTCAGCTCGCCGTGCTGCACACTCCCCAGTCTTGCCCACCACGTGCCACTCCACTCCTTATCAGTCTCCTCCGCTGAGCTGTGGAAACATCCCCACATCACCACCGGCCTGCGCCTGCAT